ATGTTGCATCCAGAGAACTTGTCTAACGAGACAAGACATCTCTCTCTCTCTCTCTTGATGAGGAGCTTGGAGATACACAGCACAACTGTAGTACTACCATTACTGCAACAACAAAATCTTGGGTTTTTTCCTCTAGTACAACAGTGTTTGATCCAAGGAAAGGGAGGGGTATATATGCTTTTTTTTTTCCTTCTTTTTTCCCTTCTCCTTTTCTCCTGTCTATCACGGTTGTAGTAATTAAACGTAAAAGTCAATCCAATGTGCCTACTTTTGGAAGAGAGAACTATTCAAAGGGGTCACAAGATTTGGCAACATCTCTACCAATTTATGATTTAAGAACAGAATTATGTAATAGATGTGTTAGATCATATCTGAAGATCAGAACCCGCCATAAGATCAGAAGAAATATTGATTTGATTGACTTTAAACAAAGACGAATGGTTGAATCTCAAGCTGGTGGACGGACAATGACAAACTATTTCCCAAGTTTGAAATTCATGGCTGACTCCTCCACTTAGAAGTGGATAGCATTCGATCACTTGCAGCTCTTCATCTTAGTGACAAGCACATTGATCGCAGTGTAAATTAAACAGATTGCTTATATTGAAAGTGATAATGAAGAGATTGCTGTGAGGAGTAGGAATGTACCCTTCATTCCTTCCAGTAGATAACCAGTGGTCAATTCACAGTGGGGATATTTGGGGACCATATGAATATATATAGAGCTACTCTCCACACAAAGCAATGCAATAAAAGGACTGATCACAGAGAGAAGATTCCACCAAGGTCCACATTTGTGTACATACACCCTTTTGTCCTCGTAGCCCATAGAGATGTCGCTGAATTCTGGAGCCCCCTCCACCTGTTAGCTGTAATCGACCTCCCAACATATCTGTTGCGTAAACCATGAGCACAACATCAACTACTGTCCTGGACCCTATAGCTGTAGAACAGCTTCACAGTACAATTAACACTGCTTTGGAAAAGGCCTAACCGTACACGCAAGCAGAATCTGCTTTTCATTGGTCTAATTAACTCGTGAGATATTATCTAAAACTTAATTATCATGATTTTTACCTATTTCTCTTAAATTCAGTGATTTTTAAAAACCCCAATAAAGCCCACTATCATCCAAAACTCACCAGTAATCCTAACCCAAACAATCAGATATAACAATGTTCTCATTTCTTTTGATTTTAAAGTAAAAATCGTTCTCACTACATTAACTGGATTTGCCAACCAAGGTTCAATAGCTTTGGAATTAGTAGATGGGACAAAGTGTTTTTTTTTTTGGTGGATAGATGGGGATAAAGTTATGGTCATTGTCCAAAGCACTGATCACACCATCAGTTTTCAAGATCATTATTTGTCCAGACTCCAGAGTAAGGACTTTTCATGGGTTCGAACATTAAAATCCATATATATATATATATATATATATATATATATATATATATATATATATATATATATATTCTGCACATATTGTGAAAACATGGGAATTTTCCCGTTCATGGGAACATCTTTCCATGAATTTAACATAAATATGTGTGACTGTCCTAACTGATTGCTATGTGAGCAGTTTTTTTTTTATTTAAACCATTAGTTATGGTGCTTTGGAGTACTTTGCTTTAGTTGCACCTAAAATTTTAGCCTTTAAACTTAAGATTGTTACTGCATATACATACTAACATACATGAAAACTATCTGAGAGTATGATAGGGAGTCATGCATGGATACAAACATATTTACACACTTTTCAAATATGAATACATATGATTTGAGTTGGACTTCATTGCCCAATGCCTCAATCCCAAGGTTTTAAAACTGAATCAGACAACTAACCGTTCATGGTCTAGTTCCCAGGTCCAACAGTCTGATCGTTCAAATTAAAACAGATGGCCCATTTTGACAAAAGAAATAAAAAACGGCCAAAAATTGGATGGTTCGAATGGTTTAAACGGTTCAACCACCAGGATCAGCAGTTTGCTGACCAAATCAACAGTTTTTAGCCAAAAAATGGTTTTGAAGTAAAATGGAACCGGTCAAATGATGAGTTTCCAGTTTTTCCAATCTGACCATCCGGTCCAGTCCAGTTTTGAAAGCTATGCTCAATCCTGACCCAACCCAAAGTACATTAGTGTTCATAACTTTCAATCCTAACTCTACCCTAAGTTAATCCAACTCGGGCTATTCTGGCCGAGGGGTGGATAGGGTTTTTTTCTTTAAAGGGGCCAAAACCTAACAAAGATTAGGGAAGGAGGGGGGAATAGGAGGGGACCATGGCTCCCCTCGTCTCCCCTAGCTGTGTTCCTGTGTTAACCCAACTCAAGCAGTTGCATCCCTAATTATATGTACTACAAAATTTGCACTGTTTTATTCCCATATTTTTTTTAGGCTGTGTTTGATTGCAGTGCAATTTTATTTGCTCTAGTACAAATGTATAGGAGTGCAAATGAAAAAAATGCAAATTTTGGTTTAAAATTGTTTTGGATTTTAGTTTATTCTACTTAGGGTCTTATCCTACTTCATTTTTATTTCAACCAAACAAAGTAAAGTGAAATTTGAAACAAAAATAAATCAAAACTTGCACCCAATTCATTTGCATTACCATAGTTTTACATCAATGCAAATGAGTTTGCACTGCAACCAAACACAGCCTAAGGCTCAGTTTGAAATGAGTACAAATACAAATATGTAGAGTGCAAAATCTTGTATTTTGTGTTATTTTGTATTTATACAAAATAATATAAAATACAAACTTTTGCATTTATACTTCTTCCAAACTGAGCCTAACAATAAAATGGGGATCATTTATACTCCCATGCATTTGCATTTTTTTCATATATAAAGTGGCATTCACTTGCAATATTTTCATGTATTTGTACACATGGTATTAAAAATCAAACCGGATTGATGGTCAGACCGATTGACCTAGGATTAATCATGACTTTAGGTCTGATTTTAGATCCAAAACTGTCCGACAAAGGTTTGGATCGGATGGTCAAACCATTTGACCCAAAAACCAGTGGCTAAAACGGTTTTATTTCCAGATGGACTTTTAAATCCATGTTCGTATACATTTGTACTTTCACACATTTGCACTACTAGTGCAACTAAAAGAATGGAGTCAAAGCTTTTAATGTTCTCGAAAAGGTCCAATTGGCAGGACTCCCTTAAGTTGACATGATTAACATTAGCATTCAAAGCATAGCGGCTAAGGAATTGCAAACCAACGGAGTCAGAACAGTATTCGTTAAGCACGTAAGTGCTGTTTGTCATAAAAAAAGATTTCGATGGACTGAAAAGAAGTAATTTAATGAAGACAAATGCTATTATGTGAAAAACAATATACACTCTATGCTATGAGAAAGGATTGTGATTACATAACCTCCATGTGTTGGTATGTATCACTTTTTGACTCGGTCCCACTTGATGACTTCATCTCCCATGAAATGAGAGACTAAGATTTTCTTATACCTTATACTTCTCTATGATTCTTAGAGGTGAATACAATCTTTTAATGCGAAAATGACAAAAAAAAGGATATTTGACAATAAAAAAAAAACCTCGCCTATAACTGCAAACCTGCAGTTATCTCTCATTCTTTATTGTGAGGGACAGGAAAATGTTGGTCTAATGCATTAGGTTTTCAAATATATCCATTTTACCCTTATATCTATCAATTTACATGAAAATTTCCTAAAATACCCCCAAAAATTTTTCATTTTTAATTTAAAAAATCTCCAAATTAGATTAAAAAGAATAAAGTAATTTTATTCTATAAAAGAGTTAGGTCTACTAAAGTTTAGAAGGATAAATGTAGCATCTTTTAAATTATATTGAAAAATTCCTTAAAAAAGTTATATGGGTAATTTCATAACTTTAAAAGTTTCCATTACTGCAACAAGGATGGAAGGGAGGTAGCTAAAAGGGATTTTTTTATGATTATCAGGAAGACAGAAAAGGAGAAAAATAAGGGAATTAAGATACAAAAAGAGGTTTTGAGAGTTTGAGGTAACATTGAATGCATTAATAATGAAGATGTATCTTTTGCTCGTCTTAGGGCAAAATCAGAGATCGATAATTGCTTCTTCACTCTAGGCATTTGGTGACAAGTAATGCATGATTTTCAGACATAACAACATGATACAAGCCATGAAAAGAAGAGATGGGGGTGGATATGATTGAACCACTGATGCTACTTTCTCGCAAGCTTATTGAAATGCACCATATCTCAAGAATACAATAATGGAAAACCTTCAAATGTTACTTTGCGACCATAGATGTGATTATGGCGTTCTTGGATGTGTGGGTGGTTGGACCCCACCCATTAGACAACCTTCAATTTATTGTTTTGATAAAGGAGAGTTAAGAATTGGGTCCCATCTGGCCTACTTTTTGCAATTTCAAGTCAGGTTTGTTGGATGTAGTGTTGGACTTGGGTGACTCTACATGATTGAATTAATTATGTCTGTTGGAAATTTGTCCGATAGGGGTGTAGTTGAATCAAGATTAAATAGTTGAGTGAAAATTCGATCAGGATCGATTTTAGTTTGTTGTTAAGTTCAAATGTCAGTTAATAGTTGAGTGGAAATTCGATTAGGGTCAATTTGAGGTTGTTGAAGTTCAAATTTCAGTTAATAGTTGAGTGGAATTTCGATTAGGGTCAATTTGAGTTTGGTGTTAAGTTCAAATCTCAGTTAATTTTTTTTTTTTTTTGAATTCGTCTTGGACCAATAAAATATTCAGTCCAAACATTTACGAGACTACACACAGTGACATTTTTATCTAAACTGAAAGTAAAACACCTTGTTTATTAAACTTTCAAGTCAACCTCGAACTTATTAAATATTTGGTCAAAGTGCATCAAACTCGAATTCAAATATAAGAGTATTTTACTCGAACCAATTGCAAGATTAAACAAGCTGAAGTTCGTTCAGTCGTCTCGGCTCAGTTCAATTGCATCCCTATTTTTCAATTTTGACATTGAATGGATATTGTGGAATACACATCATTCTTTTCAATTCTCATTGCTTATTTGAGTATTTGACATAAATGAATGACTAATATAGACATTGAATGGCACTTTTCTTACAAAATAGACACCCTGTAATTAGGGGTGGTAAAACATAGCCCTCCAAAGTCCAAACGTTGTTCTTCAATAAAGACCCTCTCAAATTTCTGGATTCCAGCCTTTACCCCCAAAATCCGCGCCGAAGGTAAAATTGATAGATTATCCATTTGAGATTCTATGATGAAAAATAACAAAATGATGGATAATCTAGTAATTTTACTAGACATGTCCATTATTAGGTTCCAGCACTTCACCCCCAATCCGCTGACAGGATTAACTCTCTTGTAGACATGCCCATGTCTCCATGCCTTTTTGTCTTGCCAAGTTCTCAAACTCTAAGATGCTGATTGGTTTCTGATTCTCCCGTACATATACATGAAAGCCGAGTATGGTTGTCAGCCCATGATGAAATCTACAACATAGCGTCGTGATAGGTGATACCATCAATGAACCCAATCCATTTCTCATCCAAAAAAAGGTGTGTTACAAAATACACGCTCTGATTGTGTAAATATGGAAGACAAAGGCCTCTTTGTCAAACAAGAGACACCCATTTAACCCATCTACCACAAGGCCAAAACTCACAAAGAGAGCAAGACCGAAAAATTTTACAAAGTGGTGGCAGCAATAACGTAAACAGTAAAACTAATTAACAAAGGAATCGGCGAATCGCTTTTGGTTAATTCTCAGGTGATGAAGGATCCATCGAGGAAGACAAATATAGAGTTTGAGGATGCCCGTGTATCAGTTCTCATATACTGAAGGATACCTGTGTTTTCAATTCTCCCACCTAACGATGCAGTGTGTGTGTATGTGAAAGTAATAATTTAGAGGTACTGGGCTTGTATTCTTTCTCTATTCTCTTCCCACCACATCTTTGCATGCACCTCACCAAATCTTTCGCGGCTACATACAAGATAAAGTTTACAATTAATGCGTAAGTAACGTGCCAACTTCTTGTTATAAAGAATAACTAAACAGGGTGAAGTTTCTCTACCTGAATCTGACGCGCCGGAGCTCCCTGGTGCCATCCGGCAATTGTCTGATAGTAATGTATACACCGGGTTCATCTTGCTCGACCCACTCCGTCTCTTGATCACTGGCATTACTAATAGAAACAGAGGCTTCATCTCTGGACGAGGTTGTCGTTCGTGATGCATCGACGGAAGATGTCTCTCCCTTGAATCCTGCGCCATAGCCATAGGCACTTGGACCAGCGCCACAGTGTTGGCCTCCGTGCTCTAGTGGGTCAGAAGGGAAGTACCCTTTGTTGCTAGGTGGTCTATAAAAGTGCCTTGGTGTACGTTCCTTGCTTAATGGTGGAGTTACGGGGCTTTCCCTTGCAGATCCGATTCTTGAGTAGGACGAATCTCTCTACAACCAAAGTAGGTAAACAATTGATGAATGAATGAAGGGGCTTTTCAAGCCAAGAGAAAATTGAGCAACAACAATATATCTAGTATGTATTTCAGAAAGGCTTTGGCTGAAGCTAGACAAGAGCATGCAGTAATTAATAGTATAAATATATGATACATGACCTTGTGTATGGCGCTTCCCAGCAAATAGACGCAACTCAAAGAAAACCCATTTACACGGATGACAACTGTATATTCAACACCCTTCCTGCTAATCTTTTACACCTATTTAAACTGATTTCACACTTTGGTTTTATTCAATGATGAATGGTCCATTCATTGGAATATCTATGACTGCATCCTAGGTCCTAGCACCATCCTGAACTAATAAGCTATCCAAAAAAAGAGAAACAAAAGAGTATTGAAATGCAGAATCAAAGTTCAAAGATGGTTTACCTCATCCTCAGACCTGGGAGGCGTAGGAAGAGCTTGACGGTTGAATCTCTGGACATTGTAGAGCTCCATGATTCTATCATAGTTCTCCCCCCACCATCGCTGGGCTTGCCATTTATTGAACATCTCCCGGCTAAGGAAGACAACCACATATCAGCACTGATAGATTAATTTTATTTATTTATTTGGTAACACAGCAATTCATTGCAAAAACACAGAACAACTAAAGTCGTCAGTAGATATGGCGTTCAAACAGGGGTAACTAGGATATCTGAATTGAATCCTGACCTACTCATCCAAATTAAGGTGGGCCCATAAGGCAACCAATAGTCTAATATAATATTGGAGCGTTTGGTACATGATCTTGCGAGTCGACATGGAGGCATTACTCATTGATCACCAAATAATTTTCATTAAAAGGAATGACCCATGATTTTGGTGCACTGTGCCAGGTATCAATGGATTATCGTAAAGCAGTCTAGTACTCATTAGCTCTCATAAGATGGCCAGGAAGCCAAGTCCAACCCCAGCAATGGACGCTGGATCACCCTCGAAGGTGAATTCCTATCACATTTTTTCTTTTGTAGCCAGAATTCCTATCACATAGTAATTAGTAATGTGGAAACTGGATATTTGACTGGATTTTAGGTCTAACAACGTAGAACCTGGAGGTCTGCAGTGCCGTATATTTACCTGAAGCGAATTCTCTTTAGATCATTCCCACCCTGAGGGAGAGAAACAAAGGTAATGTGAACTCCAGGTTCAACTTGGGCCATCCACTCCTTGGGCTCATCCTCGTCGACAAGTACTACATCGAAAGACTGTGCAAACACGGATTCTAGCCCTCCAGGGGTTCGATCACCGCTTGACATCATCCCTTTAAACCTTGAGTCTGACCCCATACCCAGGTTCTCCCTGTTAACGCTAGTGAAATCCCACGCCGGCGTCGAACTGGAGCTCCCGGTCCGCAGATGTGGATAATATTGAAACCCTTCTGAGGCCATATCGATGTCTGGGTAAGGTCTCTGGCCCTTCCTGCTGCTGCTGCTGGAGCCTGAGCCCGTGCTGGGCTTGCACTGCCGGTATGCGCCCGAGAATTTTAACGCCATGTCCTTAATCTGTACAACATTGTGAACAAATATATTCAGATTCAACGGGCAGGATCGGTCTACTGATCTGACGCAATGATATAGTGGGAGTCCCACCGTGGGACCCCTAATGGGCTTAATGGGTCAAAGACACCCCACTAATAGTAGTGATGGTGATGGGTTTGAGCAATATAGAAACATGGTAATGCATTGTGTCGAACAAGTGAACTGCAGTGGGTCGACAAGAATTCTCGAGCGGGTCCCACCAAAAATGCTCCACTGTGTTGTCTTTTCTCAAGATCCCCCGTAAGATCATCCTATGTACAAATACTATATTATTTTACATTATAATGTCTCTATTACCCCCAATATCTTTTGAATCCCCAATAACATCCAAAGCAAAATAGTCGGATGATTAATCATGGTGCAGGGCCTGCAGGCATTAAGTACAGTACTGCTGGTTTTGGTATATGTCATATGTGAAGAAAAAAGCACAATGAAGGACACCTGGCATTACCCTACCTATATTGGACCTAATCCAAGGGTTGGAGAAGCGAGGCCAGACCTATCGACTCCAGCTTTCTGAATTCTGATTTCCTTGGTTGGCAAGGGCTGGCGAAGGATGCATTGTTTGCATGGTTGATTATTTCTAGCATCTAACCGTAAGAGACTAAAGAGAGCTTTCCCAAGTCCCACCCTATCTGAAAAGTGGGTAGTGGGAACGGAGCAATGGAGCATTACCCAAAACTTGCCATAAACAGATCCTAATTCCCAAGTCACGCATGAATATGGAGTAAAGACAGGCAGGCATTACTGATCTGGGTATAGGGCATTTCAGTAAAAAACAATCTAAAGATGAATGTGGCTGTGTAGAGGGCAGAGGGTAGTGGGCATTTAATTGCATTTGATGGTTTACTGACCAGGAGTGGACATGGCGTACTTGTTGGTCAAACGGGAACCTCGTCAGGGTCAACCACAAAACAATGAATTGATTTCTCATTTCCCTCTGTACGCAGGCTGGATTGGTGGGATTTGCAGGGATTTGTTGGGGATTGCAAAGTAACAATTTAAAATTGGTACTTTTGCTTTGCTTCATTCTCTGAGGAATACAGTTCCTGGATAATAAAATAAAGCATCAACGTTTGTTTAAAAAAAAGAGGCTTCATTATAAAAGATGGTCCCCCGTACCCAGCCTCACAAGAACTGTTTTGTTGTTACAACTTACAAGAAGAAAGACACTAAAGCAACAACAGATGTGAAGTATGGACTGAGAGACAAATAGAGACGGAGAGGGAATCGAACCTGCGCCGTCAGACTTTTGACGGCTTCTTTCGTACTTGGAGTGCCACGCGCAACATCTTCATCATCATCCAGTTGCTTCGAACACGCTATACATGTTAACATCCTCTCTCTCTCTCTCAGAGTCACAGTTGCCCTTTACTCTTTTGTTCCCTCTTCTGTTTTTATTTTATTTACCTCTCACCTGCACAGTTGACAAATAGGATTTTCATTATGTTCGATGGCATTATTGTCATTCAAATTGTAGGGATAAGGGCCTCTATGAGCTTGCATTGCAAAATTTGCTATGACCGTAATACCCCCGGATTTTATCACCATTGCATCATTCATTGCCCATTGGGAGATTTTAGCTAATAAGAAAGTTTAGGATTAGTTGTGGTCAATGCATCGAAGAATATATTTATATTTATTAGGAAAAAACAAAGAAAGAAAAGGAGAGGGTATGGCCTTTGGGACAAGAGGAAATAATTGATATAATATTCAGACAATAATTGAAGCAATCAAAAAATTGAGGAATTTTGACACAGGGAAGAGTCAGCCTAGAGACTTGAGAGCAAATCAATGCGCTTTAGTGCACAGCGGCCGAATAAAGAATTTGGAGTTTGAGAGCCGAAGTTTCTGATGGTGAACAGAAACTAATTTTTTAGAAATATATAATAATATTTTCAGATTATTTTATGTTAAGTTTCAATCTTCAAGAAACTAAAAGTGAGAGAAGGATTGGAATCTCTCTCTGATCGATGAGCGACCAGTAATCGGGTTTTGAAATCTCCGTCTGTCGAGTGATGAAAGCATTCCATTCCATTAATGAAATGACGGAGAAATAAGCTTTAAAAAAAGACAGAAAAGAAACTCTGGCGTTTAGATTTGATCCTTAGCTTGCAACAAAAATCACTTACCCTGTTGAGAACGAGCTTCCTTCTCTTCTTCTCTTGAAACAGATATAACCTTCTTCCCTTTAAAACTCAAACGTCTCTCTTAAAGATGTTCCCTGCTTCTCTTCTCGTACTTTCTTGTCTATCGACAACGATTAGATCTGCATCAACAGGCAATGATTTGACGAGCTTCGTTCGCTGCAGAGACTTAAACTCTTCTCGCTCACAGTCTCTGTTTTGGTCACTCTATACAATCTGATAAACATGAAGAGAGAAACAAAGCGTCATTGATCTTCAGTGAGGCTTTTGAACTTTTTAAAGAAGAATCATGATGAAAACCCTAAAAAAACTGAAAACGTCAGAAAATTAATAAATCTACGAAACGACATTGGAAGCGGTTTAGCTTGTGGATGAAAACGGCAAAACTTTCGATTCGTAGTATCTCTCAGTCCTGTAGCTTCTTTAACAACCATTTTTAATCAATCAGCAGAACAGATTCGAGACATTTCAGAAAAAGAAAGAAAAGAATAATCTTTTGGTATAAGGGAAGCAAAAAAGCATGAACCAAATTCTCAACCACATCTCTCACCTTCATCTATTTCATGGAATGCCTCATACCAAGCCAAAATTGCTTAAGAGGTCTCATCATTCTTCAGTTGAAGCCTCTCAAAAGGCAGTTCCCAGTTCTATTCACTTTTACCAGCTCGACAAACAAAGCAGAAGACAACAAAGGAATCGCGGGATTCCAGCTACGAAGAATCCGTGTAGATTTTGAACCATTACCAATTTTAGAAGAAAATTCTTCGAACAGATTCCTAATATCTTCGCCAGAGAAAGTGAACTGGCAATGTTCCGGCGATTTCACGGCAAAATTTCAGCGGGTTTTTGGAAATCCTTTTTAAGGTCGAAAGCACAGAGCCTCCGCAGCTGTTTCAGCTCCGGATTTTTCGTTTCGACCAGAAATAAACATAATTTCACTTCACTCGGCTCTCTTATTTATAGCGCTAAATAACTAACGTCATCCCCGCCGTTAATTAACGGCAAAGTTGACGGATCCCCATCATCCCCCCACCGAACCGTTAACTGTTATCGCTACTCATAACTCGTCAAAACAAAACAGCTACCCATTAAACATCATTGGATAGGCCCCACATCTATGATCCATCCAATGAAATCAGATCATCCATCTTGTATATGTAGAATCTTAAAAATCCTAAGCGGGTGCGGGGCCAAGAGATCAGCTAGGTCCAGACGTTAATAAGAATCACAGAGTGGCATTTTTGTAATTATAGGTAAAACATCAGTTCTTTTTTCAAAATTTGGTTGAGAATATCTAAAAATTTGCAATCCCATCAAAGTATACTGTATTTTGTATAAACTATTAAGGCCTCGTTTATTACGTGGATTTGTCTTGCCAAGCACGGCCGACTGGTTACCTGGTGTTACCAGTGACCGATCTGATTCGATTGGGAGTGGTTACTGGGTGTAGACGGTGATAGGGGAGAGGAGAGGCTGGAGAGCTTTAACTTTAGACGCTGTTACTTATCATCCTTAGCTTTATTCCTGGGCTGTGTTAAAGCAAAGCATGGAACGGCGGGACAATTCATCAGTGTCTTGAAAAGATAAATCAAATCTTCTGTCCCTCACTCACCAGTCTTATGCCACGTGTCGAGATCGGAAGGGACAAGCTTTCCCTAAAGAGGGTTCTCCTAGATCTTCCTAGCTTAGAAAGTTATGGTCAAGGTCCAAAGCAATTCCCGTCATTTATTTCTTTGTTTCGCAATGAAATTCAAAATCCTCCTTTTCTCCTACTTTCCAGTTTTCTCACCTCTTTAACAGCCTCTAACTATGACCAATAATTTGAATCATCCGTCTATTTTATTAGCTTATCACTAAGATTTAAGCCGTTGGATCGGGATCTAACACCCTAAAACCAAGCCATCAACCTGATCCACAGTAATTATGTCTGAACTAGATAAAAATTTTGCACCTTGGTTTAATTTTAATAAGGCTTAATTTGGAAGGAGTATAAATACAAATATACAAATATGTACAGTAAGGTTTTGCACTCTAAATATCTGCATTTGTACTCCTAAACTGAGCCTAAAAAATTTTTGTACTTTTTATCTCATTTGCACTCATTGTCTGCAATTTTTGTATCTCAAAAACAGATGCAAAATTTGCATCACCTTCCCTCCTATCTCAATTCTCTGTCATATAAAGTGGGGAATAGATTGTCTTGCTTCCTACCTCACACTCAAATAGATAACTCTCGTCCTACCTTCATTCTCTTTCATATGAGCTTTGGGACTATATCACATTACTCCTTGTTTTACTACTTCTTATAAATAAAGAAGATAAAAATCAAATTTAAAGCAAAAGTAAACTAGAATTTGTATTCAGCATATTTACACTTTCTTGCATTAATATATATCTATATCTATCTATATACTATTTTAAAAAGCACAAATGGCCTCAAGAATATTTTTAGAATTTTTTAAGGACAAAATTTACCCCTATATATTTAAATTTATTGATAAAAATGAGGGCAAATAGGATAATCGGTTCATGATATTAATGAGTTGAAAAGAGGTAATTTAAAGATATTCAATGCATTCAATTCTCTCTCAATAAATCCAACATTTAAGTTATTGACTTGCATTCGTGTTCATTGAATCACATATTTAAGTCATTTTTGTTTCTCCTCATCATTAAGTTCTATTAATTAAATCCATACTTAATAAATTAATAATTCTAATAACATAAAACTTATACTTTTAAAATCTACCTAGCAAAAAATAGTGTTTTCATCTAGGTAGTGGTAAGAAATTAAATCATTTTGGGTCAAATGGGTTAATCCATGTTGCCNTTATTAATGATGGAAATGGAATGTAAAATTTAAAACCAATTGGAAATAAAAATATTTTCCTATTCTCTCTCATTAAATCCTATATTTAAGATATATTTTTCTCATCATTAAATTCTTGTAATTAAATCCACAATATTAATTTTAATAGTATAAAAATAAATATTTTGAAAAATAATTTGAAAACAAAACAACTTTCTTCCCTCCTGGTGGGTGGGTAAGCAATTCGACCATTTGGGGTCAAATGGATTAATAAATAATACCATAATTAAATAATAAAAAATTAAAGTAAATAACTATGAAATGTAATAAATATTTTTATTAATGATGAAAATGTAATGCTAAATTTACAAATGAAATGATGTCATAGTCAAATAATAAAATTTTTAATAATAGAAAATACAAAGATTCACAAAAAGAAGAAAAAAAGATAGAGAAAATTTTGGGCACATGTCTAATGTTATATATTTATAAAAAATAAAATATTGGGCACATCTCTAATATTGTGCATTCATTATATTGAACAAAAATAAGTTTTATACATAAGAAATAATTTTATCAATGATGGAAATGTAATACAAAATTTAATGTCAACCTAAAAATCAAACAATTTTTATTTTTGGATGGTGGGTTAGTGGTTTGAGTTAAAAGATATCATAAACAAACAAAAATTAAGTGTGATAAGTAAAAAATATTTTATATAATGTAAATGAAATATATAATTTAAAGGGAAAATTATAATCAAATTCAGTTATACATTTAAAATTAGGTTGTAGGTTGGTCCAAAAACTAACAAAACTCTAACAACCGGCTCTATATTTCAAATTATAAAAACCCCTGCCATGTCATCAGAGGTTTACGTGATTGTTTCCAATGTGGGACTCTTAGTCCATATTAGACAGAACAAAAAAACTATATCGAAAATAGGTTTTAAGTTTCTCTCCTACTCCCTCTATCTCTCGATCTCCCTCCCTTCTCTCTTACTTTCACAATCATCTCTTGATCTCCCTCTCCCTTTATTTCTTCCACTCTCTTAGCTTCGGTCTATAGCCAAATCAAAATCTCTCTCTCTCTCTCTCTCTCTCTATATATATATATATATATATTGTTCCCCCTCAATCTTTATCATTCTTCTCCCCCTCTCGGTCAATATCTCTTTCTCCCTCAATCTCTATCGGTCTCATGTTATTTTATACGATTTGATTAATATTATAAAACAAGAGAAAGAGTATGAGAGAAATTGAGGGAGAATGAGAGATCGATTAACAAAGAGAATGAGAGAGGTTGAGGGGGAACAATAGGTAAAGAGAGAGAATGAGAAAAATTGATATAAATGATGTATTTGCAAAAACCAAAAAACATTTTTATTTATTTTCAATCACATGGTCGTTGAGCCAATAAAGATGAATGTGAGTGAGAGAGTGTAAGGGATATTGAGAGATATAGAGAGAGAGACTAAAAACCTTTTTTTTTCAATCACCCAACATTAAAGGGTAATTTAAGTATAAGTTGTTTGTTGTGCCCAACATGGTTTAAGAGTCCCATGTTGGCAACAACCACATAAGCCTCTGATGACATGTCGAGGGTTTTTATAATTTGAAATGTAGAGTCGGTTGTCAGAATTTTGTTGGTTTATGGACCATCTTGTAGCCTAATTTTAAATGTATAGTCGGTTCCGACTATAATTTTCCCTAATTTAAAACTAATCCAAAAGCAAAGCTATTTTCTTATCTAGATGGTGGGTCAGTAATCCAACTTTTCAAAGAAACCCATGATGTCATAATTGAATAATAAATATTTAAGTTTATTTTTAATCATATTGTTACTTTTGTTAATTTTCAATTTCTATCTTAACTATGATATATCTAAAATTCAAGTAATTAATATAAAGAAAATTTTATCACGTACAACGCATGTGCTTAATTACTAGTACTACTACAAATGAAATTGAGTCGTAGCTTTTGACAAATGCCAAATTCATAATAAGCTTATCTTTAAACTGTTTTCTTTTTTCTGATAAAAAAAATTAGAGAAATTGAAAGTTAAGGGAATAAGAAGGATTTTAATGAAATTCCCTAAGAACTTTCCCTCAACTAAAGCTACAATCTATGTGGGCTTGGGTTGGTTTTTTTGTCATAATTTGGATGTGCCCGGCTCAAAAGCCTGAGCCCGAAACAGTGTAAAATACTAACTCAGGCCAACCCAAGTTGCAACCTTAACCTCATCTTTCTTTTTTCTCTTACTTTTTACCAAACCAAACATAGCGTTGGAGTTTGGATCATTCTCGGAGAAAGGGGGGGTTTCTTTGTCCATGAGGCAGCTGCTGCTTGTCTGGAACTTACCACATCGGAGAGGATGATGTGGCAACCACATGGAGCCCTTTCGATTCACAGGTTGTAAAATGAGTTACACCTCCGGGCTCTGGTTCCAGAATGATTGTTAGATGATGCAAACACTTAGGCTGTGTTTGATTTGAAAGAAAAGATAACACTCACATATTTCTCTCATCTTTCTTTCAGCAAAATTCATCTTGAGGACACTTTAACGATCACATCATCAATGCCTTGAGAACAATTTATGCTTTATAATGGTTAATTTCATTATTTGGATATTCACCGCATCACCCCAAAAGCCCATAGAATATCCAATAGACAATTTAGTAATTTTATCTGTATGTTTAAATATTAACCATCTTGTTTCGGCATTGTACAGAACTTTAAAATTATATATCTATCAGCAATAATAGAATGTCAAAACCTTTTTTACAATCTGATTTTTTGGCCAAGCTGCAAGCTGATCTTCTGAAAATGCCCCCTCTAACAGTGGGTTCTCATACTCTAAAGATGGATAGTTGGGAAATTGCGTTCCCAAACCCCACCTTTTCCCTTTGGTACGATGGTTTAAAGTATTGATATAATACGCGTATCTTTTGAAAAAGATATGCTCCTCGGAATCCCAACTTTTTTAATAATAAAAAACATGTTTTTAGTTTTTCAAAAAACCAAAATTTAAAAAAAAAATAGAGTTTCGGCCATTTTTAAGTATCGACACGATACTGCCGATATGCGTATCGTATCGATACTTTGAATCTGTATGTGTTTGATTCCGTGGGTGTTTATGGATAGGCCATTTATTTATACTTTTTTCATTTTAAACGTTTTCTATTTTTGTTATTTGGTTGGGCTTCACTTTAAATGTTTTTTACTCTCCACCTCAGATTAATACCCATTAAAGTGTATCACATCATCATTTAGTTTAAAAAAACGGTGGGGCATGCACAAAACAAGAATTTGAAAAGTAGTATGTCACATCAGCATTTGGTTTCCCCAAATGGCACATGCACAAAAATAATAATAATAGTAATTTATAGTTACTATTATTATAATTTATCTTTTGAAAAGTAAATTATTATAATTTAGAATTATTATTATTGTAGTAATTTATAATTTGTACTTTCCAAATTTTTTGAAAAAGTATGCTAAATTTATAATTTAGTTTCCAAAAAAAATGAAGTTGGAAAATTAATAGTAATTTATTCTAATCTAGTATTTGTGTAATTTTTGTGAAAATTAATTTAATCTAGTTTTCCAAATAATCTTCATTATTAATTGTAAAAAATAATTTTCAATTATTATTAGTATTATAGTATAATATTATTATAATAATAATATTCAATTAATATTATTATTATTGTTATTATTATGAATAAAAATCAACCTATGTATTACATGGTTCGGACGTATAAGTCCGAGTGGTTATTCAAAAACGGGTCGAGGAAACCCGTTTTCACGATCCTCTTCACCCGCACGTTAAAACGGGTCCTATGACAACCCAGTTTTTTCTATTTTTCACTTTTTTTTTTTTTTGTTTTTTTGGATTGTTGACTTCTAATGAATCGGTTTGGATGCCAAAAACAATTTTTTGTCAATTTTAGCACATAAAAACCTTATATATTGAAGAGATCGTACCTGATTTATTCCTGCTGCAACTTTAAGGCCAGAACCAAACTTTAACACCAAAATGTGCTTGAAGAAACAAACCCGCAATATTACTACTAAATCGAAAATGAGTTTGAAACTAACTCTGCAACCAACGAAGAAAACCTCTGCAAAAAAACAAACCTAGAATTGAGTTTGAAACCAACTCTGCAACCAACGAAGAAAACCTTTGGAAAAATATTGTCAAAACTAATTCTGCAAAAAAAATAATAATTGGTTTGAGAGTTGGAATATGGAGAAGAAAAACAAAACATAAATGAAGAAAGAAGATGATCTCATACATTTAGAACTATCTCTGCAACTATCTGGAACCATCTATGCAACAATCTAAGGAAAACATGAAGAACCAAAAAAAAAAGAAGATTATCTCAGACGTTTGGAATACGTAAGCCTTGAAAATTGAAAGTCGAAACCACAACCTGCAAGAGACGCTTCAGAATTCCAAACGTCTCCCGATCATGATTGGCTTTCCTACGTATCATGTCGATTTAAAAAACGAAAAATCAAAACTCTGAAAAATTAGTAAAGGAGTTTTCTGCAAGAGAGACGTGATACGTGCTGACATGGCACATTCGCTATTAGTATATATATTTCGCTTTTAGTATATATATATATATATGAAGTAATTGAGATAGACCATTTTGGGTTGGGATTGGGTTCCAAAGCATGAAAGCTATTTTCTTTGAACTGTGCTCTGTTATACATTTAATGATTTAATTACAACATTACCTCACTTACGAAAAACAGAAAAAAACAAATTCTTATCCCCTCTTTCAATTGGAACCTCTCTCTCTCTCTACTTCTTGCCTGATCTACCCCAGAGAGATTGCCAGAACACAGGCCAATTCTTCTGGGCTTCATTCCACCCCAACAGAGACCCCTCCCTCAATGGATCCCAACTGGACGACACAATCCCATAACTCACCCCCAACAGAGCCGAGCCAAAGAAGAAGAAGGACACTATAAAGGGAACCCAGGTGGGCACGTCGATCTTCAATACCACTTTGAGATAATAAAAGAAAGGGAAAAAGAGTAGTCCAATGAATAAAGGAATCCCCACTGAGAATGCCATCCTGCTCATCATCCGGTTGGTCACTACCTCCGGAATAATACCTTCGTCTGGGTCATAGTCATCATCTTCATCGTCACTGGCTGTCCCATCACCTTTCTTTGGCTTCTTCGTCTTGCTCTTCTTCGTGGAAGGTCCAAAGCCTCTCGGACTCTTCAAGGCTGCCAAGAGAGGAGCTGCTGGTGAAAAACGAGTATGTCTTTCAGAAAGCTTTGTTGGAGGGAAATGAGAGATTGATTTGGTTCGACTAGTTGAAGAAAGGGATCTGATGAGGGGTGGAGCTCGTAGTAACAGGCAGAATTCCATGGTGTTTTGTGTTTTCTGTGTGCAATTTGGCTTCCTCTGGATATTGAGATTTTAAGAGACTTATCTACTTCCAGTAAATCCCACTTGAATTTACAAAAGTAACCTCGGCGATTGGCTACACTTACATGATATAACCATTGTGGATCCTGCATAATCAAACCAGAATGGGAAAAACAAATTAAAAAAGTCTCCATATTAGGAAATAAATTCTCCAAGGAAAAAATAATGTCATGGCTGAACAATCAAGAACCAACAAGCAGAGAGAGAGAGAGAAAAGTATTGAAAATTTGCAACCATTGATGCCACTACTAAATACAAGGTTTTGCACTCTACAAGTCTACATATTTGTATTTGTACTCGTTCCAAACTGAGCTTAAAAGAAAATGAAAGGAGATTGGGAATAAAACTTTTTCTTAGTTTTTGAAACTAGGGTCGTTTTTGGTTCACTGCTCATTTTTTGCCTAAAATGAGATTCTAGAATGAACAAGGAGTACAATGGAAAAACTTTGTTGTGTACTAAACGCATTTTATGACAAGAATGAGAATGAATTTGTTCATTCCTTGCTTTTATCAACCAAAAATCATATTTTAGGCTACAAGCTTCACATATAAAATTATATTGTGAATTCTATATAAGACTTAATTTTCATATATAAAATTAAATTTTTGGATTCATATAAGAGTAAATATTACCTATTATCCAGGTAAAACTTCCCCAGATAAATGTAACTATCCGTGTTCCTTTGTCAGAAAATTTACCCAGGTAAATGAGTTGATTGTTTTTCCTCTGTTACCAGTTTTACCCCTGAACCAAAATGAGCAGTTTTGAACCTTTTGTTTTTCGGAAGACTGTTTAATGGACTAAACTCATTAGCAGCGGGCTATGAATCAATCCTATTCACAAGATAATATGCCCTCCCAGGATCCCTGAGCGTTTCAAAGTTTCAAACTTGAAATGGGAACTTGTGAAACCATAAAATCTCTAAAAGATTGGTTGGCTTCAGAAAGGCAGCTTGGATATCCAGTGCAATATGGCTTGAAGCAATCCTATTCACGAAACAATATGCCCACCCAAGATCCCTGAGCATTTCAAACTTGAAACGGATGAGAAATTTTAGAAACCTACATAATTGTCTCATCTCATAAACCTGCATAATTGGATCATCTCAAACCAAAATCTATTGAACATCATCTCATAAATCTTCATAATTGGATCATCTCAAACCAATATTTTTTGAACATCATCTCATGAACCTGCATAAAAAAGTCATGTTCATAAAAGTTTAGTCAAACCAAACAAACTACATAAACTGCAATCATATCTATTGATCCCTTTAACATGGTTAAACATCCATAGTTTCTCAACAAAAAAAAATCCATTGTAAGTTTTCTAAACACCAAATAAAAGATAAGTCACTGTGTTCTAATGAGTTATTGATCTGGGAGGAGCTGGGAGAGAATGTATGCCTGCCTAAAATCGGGCAGTAGGCTAAAAAAGTACTCAACCTCTCTCATGTCACTAGTCAACTTCTTAACCACTTTCATCCTCTCAGTAGTCGCTCAAGATTGAACAGACACTTAAGGAGAAGAAAAAAATAAGAAAAGAAGAGGGAGAAAAGAGAGAGAGAGAGAGAGAGAGAGAGAGAGATTTTGATAAAAGAGAGTTGGGTTGATGTATTTAAACAGCCGCCCCCCTCTTAAATTTATATATATATAGTATCATACTTGTAAAAGGGCTGAATTGCTTAAATGGCAAGATAAGATAAGATAACAAGATAATATAAGATAAGATAAAACTGAAAAAATACTAATCCTAATCTTATCATAAAGAACTAAACCTAATCATAACTTACTGCTGACATACGAACAGTGGGGTTCACATTAGTGTTCTCTACACTCCCCCTCAAGTAGGGAATAGATCTTTGTCATTCCCAACTTGCATAGATCTGCTTCTAACTTCTTCCTTGAAACCGCCTTGGAGAGAAGGTTTGCCAGATGCATTTCGGAGGTGATGTATGGAAGACATACTTCTTGAGATGTAACCCTTTCTCTGATAAAATATCGATCCACTTCAATATGCTTAATCATGTCGTGTTGTACCGAATTATGGGCTATATTGATGGCAGCTTGATTATCACAGTACAACATCAAGGGTTTCTCATAAACAACACCTAATTCCTCAAATAACGATCTCAACCATAGGATCAGCTACACCATTTGCCATGGACCTATATTCAGCTTCAGCACTGGAACAAGAAACAACATTTTGTTTCTTACTCCTCCAAGAGACAAGGTTACCTCCTACAAAAGCACAATATCCAGAGGTAGATCATCGATCATCAACACATAGCCCAATCAGCATCTGTGAAAACTTCTATCTTCATGTGATCATTATTCTTGAATAAAATGCCTCTGCCTAGGCACCTCTTCAAATATGCTAGTATCCTCTCAACTGCAAGGAGGTGAGTAGTCCTAGGAGAGTGCATATACTAACCACACTGACTGCATAACTGATGTCGGGTCAAGTGAGACAAAGATAGAGAAGTTTTCCAACTAACCGTTG